CGATAATATAAGCTGGGCGTTCATGTTTAAAAAATTAGAGCTATGGAACTGTGGGGTGAACTTTTGTGCAATGATAAAAGCTATGTATAATAAACAAAGTGCTAGAATATTAATAAACGGTGAGATATCTCAGGATATCCAAATCCAGAAAGGCACAAGACAAGGGTGTCCTCTCTCCCCGTTATTATTTATATTTATTATTGAGTCACTACTTGAAAAAATCAGATCCAATGTAATGATAAGAGGGTTGAGAGTAAAAGGGGAAGAATTCAAGGTACAAGCCTTTGCCGATGACCTAATATTTGTATTGGATGATCCAGAGCAGTCTTTGCCAATCTTATTAAAGGATATAAAAGAATTTGGACAACTAGCTGGGTTTAGAATTAATATTCAAAAAACAAAAATAATAGTTAAAAACTGCTCCCCAAGATTGATAACAAGGTTAAAAGAAATTTCCGAAATGGAAGTAGTGCACAAAGCTAAATACTTAGGTATTTGGCTATCAGATAACATCGCAAAAATGTTTGAAAATAACTATCAAAAACTACTAAAAGAAATCAGTATAGATCTGAAAAACTGGGAACAAAAACATATCTCCTTAATGGGAAGGATAGCGACTATAAAAATGAATATATTACCAAGAATCCTATTTCTAGCACAAAATTTACCCATCTTAAAAAATTATGAGTTCTTCAAAGACCTAGAAAGAATAACAACTAAATTCGTTTGGCAATCTAAAAGACAGAGAATTAAAACCAAATACCTACAGGATAGTAAAAAGAAAGGGGGCTTTGCATTGCCCAATTGGCAGCTTTACTACCTCTCAGCAGCAATGACATGGATTAAGGATTGGGTCGAACTAAAAGATGAAAGAACTCTAGCACTGGAAGGAGCAGACCTGCCAATGGGATGGCATGCATACATGTGGTATGGAAAGGATAAAATCCATTCCTGTTTCCATACAAATATTATAAGAACAGCCTTAATGAAAGCCTGGAACATTATAAAACATAAGTTTTACAGTAAGACGCCTCTGTGGATCTCTCCACTAGAAGCCTTTATAAAACCCTCGGTAAGGACAGAAGAATCCAAATTAACATATGGTAGTCTATTAAATGAAAGAATGGAACTCAAAAAAGAGGATTCACTAAAGAAACAAAATATAAATTTAACTTGGTGGGATCGAAATATAATTAATACAAGATACATGATAGATAAAAAAAGTAGGGTTCTATACTAATCAGAATGAAATAGACAAAATTTGGCTCTCCTCCAGTGACAAATTAATTCAGAAACTATATGCCAAATTACTGGAAGAAGAACTAGAGAAAGAAGACATTAAAAAGCCAATGTTAACTTGGAGTAAAGAGATAGGGATTACCCTAAAGGCAGAACAATGGAACAAACTGTGGAGATCAATAAAATATATGAAAGCAACCCCCTATAAAGAAAATATTTACAAAATGTTTTACAGGTGGCACTGGACCCCCGAAAAAATGGCTAAATGCTTCCCCCAAACCTCCAACCTTTGCTGGAGGTGTGGGAAAAATGTAGGTACATATCTTCATATCTGGTGGAGATGTAATAAATTACAACCTTACTGGAAAAAAATTCATAAACTCATAAGAGAAGTATTTAAATTAAATATCCCTTTAAAACCCGAAGCATTCTTACTTAATATGATTCCGGATAATCTAAAAAAACCACAAAATAATGATAATATACATTCTGACAGCAGCAAGAATTTTAATAGCAAGGCGATGGAAATCAAAAAATATCCCTCTATTAAAGAACTTAAACATAAGATTTTGGACATTGCGGAAATGGATAAACTGAGTTTGGAATTGAATAATAAATCAGAAAAAATATTTTGGAAAAGATGGAAGACTATATACGACTGGCTAAAACATAAACGAAAAATATAAACTTGTTAGTTAAATGCTAGGAAAATTTACTTGAAACTGAAAGTCTTTTTATTTTTGGAGATGTATAAATGATTTAATCTTGAATATCTGTGTACAGATCCTATGGATTGTAAAGGTGAAAACTTGGAAAATAAATTTTCAAAAAAAAAAAAAAAAAAAGAGGGAAAGGCCAGCGAGACCACATATGCAAACGACCTCTGTGTTCCGAGGCAAAGGCGAATCAGGCCACATATGCAAATGACCTCTGTGTTCTGACTGGCTGTGGGGGGGAAGTGGAGACGTGGGGAATCAAACCTGGTCCTCCCCGATTAGAGTCTGCACACTTAACCACGACACAGCTACCCTCTCTCTAACAGGAGTGAGCATCTCCTTGCAACCTGTCTCTTCCCAGTACTTACCCGTGGGTTCACCTCCGCCAGCGAGGTGAAGGAAGACACGAAGGAATGGGCCACGGTTCCCCGCACTGGAATCCCATAGAGTTTCCCTGCTAAGACGTTGCTGGTAAAGTCGAAACCTGGAACACAGAGGAGAGGGAAAGCGGAAATTGGGATGCACGCAGGGCAGACAGATCTACCACCACTGCCGCAATTATTAGCACTGGAACACATTTTTATTTAGTGTGGTAGGCACAGAAGAATTTGGCACTCTGGCCATTGCTCAAATCCCTGAGCCAGAACAACGTGCATGGCCCCAGGAATACGTACTGTAGATCCCTCATTCTCTTCCTTCTCAGAACACTGGAACTCAGGCTCTTCAGTGAGCTCCATTCAGGGCTAATATGTGCCCATTTCTTCTCGCACTGCATCATCAGCTTGCAGCGTTCATTCCCAGAAGATACAGCAAAGGTCATTGGACTTAAGAGAGTTGGGTTCATACATTCAAGGAAATCCGATGGACTGGTGCCATTTCAGAAGGCAGGCCGGGGACTGGAATGAAGCGTGGTTTTGCAAACAAAGCAACAAACACACCCCACACACGGAAAACTATCACTTTGGGCAGGGGTCAAGGTGAGCCGTCCTGCTTTCCACAGACCAGGAGCTTTTAGAGAGACTGTGCGTGTGCGTGCATTGGGGAATGGGTCTTTTAATCACAAAATCTCCCATCTGTGATTAGAGAGAAAAATTTAAGAGATTCTTAATGGTTAGATTTCTCCTATCCTATGTCTGTGTTGTAGATTCCTTTTGTCTTGGTCTTTGTTTGTTTGTTTGTTGTCATTATAAAATAAAAGTAAAATGTTTTTTTTGGGGGGGACACTGAAATCCAAAATGCTGAATTTTGCAGCCGATACCTATTTGCATGGAACAAACTCTGGCCTTTTTGAAAACTGGGCACAGACAGGGCTGCTGGGTCATAGGCTTCGACCTGATGTCTCAGGGCCTGAGCCAACCTCCTTCTCTGAGTCTCCAGGCGAAGGGCTGAGGCCTCAGAGTACAAGCCCGGAATCAAGGGGGCCAGGCGCTTGACCGTTTGGCTCGTGAGCTTTTGCTCTTAGCTCAGACTCCATTTCCAGCAGGCTCTACCCTGAGCTAGTGCACACAGCCAGCATCTGCCCCCTCACCCATCGGGTACCGTGAGGCCCCACCCCTTCCCAACAGGCTCCTCCCCCCAGCTAGGCATCATCTCTCAGGCACTTGCGCCCCAGCCTTGTGGCCACCTGCCAACCCTACGTGGAAAGGAGAGACCAGGGGTCATTTCCCGCAGGAGCGCACTGGAGCAGAGCTCCGGCAGTAAAGAGCCCAGGGGGCGGGCACATGCAACAAGCCCCACCCACTGCTCCCAGCAGCCCTCAGTCAGAGCAAGAAGCGGCCAGGTAAGTTGCAGAGCCCCCCCGGTCTAAAACAGTCCAGTGGCACCTTTAAGACCAAGTTTTATTCAGGCACAAGCTCTCCCTCCTCTGTGAGGGCAGATCTGCACGCCCCCCCCCCCCGAATAGCTAGCAATCCAAAACAGTCCAGTGGAGCCTGAGCGGTGGGTGGTGCCTTCTGACACTCTTCCGGTGATGTCAGGGGGTGTGGCATATGCAAATGAGTTATGCTAATGAGCTCCTGCACCTCTTTTTCTACGAAATGACCCCTGGGAGAGACAGTTGGCTGCCTACCGCCCACATAGGAATACTTGGAAGCAGAGAGGCCCCCGTCTGGTCCCTGGGCCCGGCGCAGCCCCATCTCCATCAGCTTCTTGTCTGGGCCCGCGGTCAGGCGGAACCTGGCTGCATTCGTCACCACGAGGCTGCAGGAGAAAAATGCAGGTTGAACATTAACTATCATTTGAGTGTCTTTATCATGTCACGTGTCCTGTTCCATAGCCAGGAGGCATCCAAGGACACGGTGGAGGGTGTGTGTGTCAAAAATATGCATTTTAGTGCCCGTCAACCCATTTTGGGGTGATATTTTTGTCCAGGGGAAACTCCTCCTTATTAGTGGACAAAGCTGTTTGCCCCAAAATGTGTTCTCCTCTTGGGGAGGGGGGGTAATAGAGAGATCAAGGTCATGTGTCACCAAAACTGAACTTTTGGCTCATGGGAAACAGGGACTTAGAATCACAGAGTTGGAAGGGGCCATACGGACCCATCTAGTCCAACCCCCTGCCCGATGCAGGTCCAGCCTAAAGCATCTCTGACAAATATTCCTCCAGCATCTTCTTGGCAGCTGTCAGTGAACAGGAGCTAGCCACCTCCCTAGGCAGCTGATTCCACCTTTGGACCACTGTGACCGTGAAAAGACTTGCTGGACTGTGACCCCATCCAGTTTAGGGCACAACCTCTGGCCCACAAGGTGTGTGTGTGTGTGTGTGTGCGTGTGTGAGTTCAGCTATAGAGAGATACCCCTGCAAAAGAAGGAAGCAGACAGAATATTACAATGCTGCATCGTCGTTGGCTTTTTAAAAGCCGTAACCACTTAACTTGCAGGCGTGACGGTTCTCGTAATTCTTAATGGCTCAAAACAAAACAGACATTGAAAAGCCATGTGTTCGTTTTCCAACATGAAATAAGATATACATCTTATACATACATCTTATACATTTGTAAAAAAAAAAATCAATCAAAAGTAGGTTTGCAGCTTACAGATACACACTTGAACGGTGTACTCAAGATTGCAACAGCACAGACATTCTGATGCAATGATTCAGAGCAAGAGGTGTCGGTTATTAGATACTGTTAAATAAACACTCTTGCAATATTTTGTTTATTTAACAGTGTCTGATAACACACCTCTTGCACTGAATTACTGCATCAAAATGTCTGTGCTGTTGCCATCTTGAGTATGCTGTTCAGGTGTGTATCTGTAAGATGCAAAACTACGATAATGCAGCAGCAGCAGAACTGGACGAAGAAGCAGAAGACAGCTAGTTCCCACTGTGGGCCTGATAGAAGCCCTCCGGGGGGGGCCTGATCCGGCGCCTGGGCCGCATGTTTGACACCCCTGATTTAGACCTCACCCTTCTCCTCTGTGGAGCAATTGCACAAAAACAGGTGCAATTGTTCTCCTCTCTTCCACTCTATCTACACGGCTACCATGTGAAGTAGGTCAAAAGCATGTGACTGGCCCAAGGTGACCTGGCAAGCTTCTGTGGCAAGAGGGGAGATTCGAACCGGGGTCTTCCAGATCCTAATCATAACGCCACGGTGAATCTCTACAATACATGATGCATGGCATGACAAGCCTACGCAGACAGAGAACACGGGGCACGAGCAGCAGCTTATGCTTTGTGTTGCACTGTCGTGCACGATAGTGAGAAATGCGTGGAAGTCTGGTAACTTCAGAACAGCCTCTGGGGGAAGCATCAAGAGGAATTCTGCAGCACACAGATACACCCTGCCCCCCACATGTTGCTCTGCAGATCCGGGTTCTCCAGCCAGCCCTTACCTGGCGTAGTTCACCAAACACAGCAGGGTGGTCTCTAGAAGTTGCACCACTAGCAAAGGGCCCTTGACCTGGAATATCGGCACCTGCAGAGAAACAGGAACAAGATCCCATCACATAAACCGCGTCACTAAAGAGAGACGAAGAGTGAGAGAAGACTTGAGGGGCAACTACGAACACACCCATTTGAAGAAGAAGAGGAGAAAGAGATTGGATTTATACCCCACCCTTCACTTGGGAGTCTCAGAGCGTCTTACAGTCTCTTTTCCCTTCCCCTCCCCACAACAGACACCCTGTGAAGTAGGTGGGGCTGAGAGAGCTCTCTTGAGAACTGCTCTTGAGAGAACAGCTCTAAGAGAACTGTGACTGACCCAAGGTCACCCCAGCAGCTGCAAGTGGAGGAGTGGGGAATCAAAACCACTTCTCCCAGATTAGAGTCTGCTGTCTTAACCACTACACCAAACTGGCTCTCAGGATTATTATTTTTAAGTGAGGACCCTGTTCCAGATTCTCAGAGGTCATGCCTTTAGCCAGAACCTTCCTTAAAGTGTTCAAAAGCGCCGCTAGATGTTAAGTTAAATAAATCAGCCACATAAAGCTCCTGAGCAAACGTTTTGGTGCAAGTGGGAGCTCCTGATCATGATGACTTTTTTCCCTTTTCCACTGAGCTGGAGAAATTATCTATGGCGTCATGTGCTTTGTGAACAACAGCCCAGGACAGCCCAAGATCCCCATGTGACTCTTCCCACCCTCTCTCCTGAAACCAACGTGAAATTGATAGCCGGGCCAGTTCTTTGGCCAAGCAAACTAAGGGCCAAAGGAAATCGGATGCCATTTTCCAAATCAGGTCTGGGTTCCTCCCAACCCGGCTCTCGTTCCCCTCAGTGAGATTTGAATCAGGACCAGTGTTCCCTCTAAGCTGAGTTAGTGTGAGTTAGCTCACAGTTTTTTAGCCTCCGGCTCACACATTTTCGTCTTGGCTCAGGAAGGGATGGCTCCAGAGCAGTGTTCCTTCTCAGCTGAGTTAGTGTGAGCCAGCTCACAGTTTTCTAGCCTTTGGCTCACACATTTTCGTCTTGGCTCAGGAAGGCCGGCTCCAGAGCAAACAAATTTATACAGCAGCCAAACTGCTCGCTCACAACTTCAATGCCAGTAGCTCACAAAGTAGAATCTTTGCTCACCAGACTCTAGAGGGAACATTTATCCGGACTGGGGGATGGGGGGGGGGGAGGTTTCTGCCTTCCTCCTTGTGCAGTTTTCCCTGACCTAAAACAGTGCAAAGGGCCTCGATTTGCTCCACCGGAGGTGGTGGTGTGAGAGGTGCCCCATGGTTCAGATCCCACCAGTGGCCATGCAGGATGACACGAAGGGGTGACAAAATACTTGAAACTGGTCCCAGAGGCTCCAAAAGTCTCCTGGTTTTACCCACCCTGGAGAAGACCACAGAGCCCTCCGGTACCGATGCGACGGAGACTTCAGATGCATCCACGGTGCGCAAGTAATCGAAGAACGCTTTCTCCGTGGTGATGGGAAGGACTGACTCCAGATACTCAATATCTGAAAGGAAGAATTCAAAACCACCGGAGTGAGAGGAGAGGGGAGCAGGAAAGTGTTGTTGTCTTTAAATTAAGCCTTTGCTTAAAAAAAAAGCTATCCTGTTTTCAGGGGTCAATTCCTGCGGGAGCACACAGGAGCGGAGCTCCGGCAGTAAAGAGCCCAGGGGGCGGGCACATGCAACAAGCCCCACCCCCTGCTCCCAGCAGCCCTCAGTCAGAACAAGAAGCAGCCAGGTAAGTTACAGAGCTCCCCGCCCCCCGGCCCAAAGGAGTCCAGTGGCACCTTTAAGACCAAGTTTTATTCAGGTACCAGCTTTCCCTCCTCTGCGAGGACAGATCTGCACCCCCCCCCCCAATAGCTAGCAATCCAAAACAAATCCCAGAGAGCACTAAGATCGGAGTCCCAAAATCGCCTGGTCCTCCCGGGCCCTAAAGAAGCCAAGCTGGCTGCAACGAGGGCCAGGGCCTTCGCTGTGGCGGGCCCTTGCTGGTAGAATGAGCTCCCGGATTACATCAGGGCCCTGCGGGACCTTCTACAGTTCTGCAGGGCCTGTAAAACGGAGCTCTTCCACCAGGCTTTCAATTAGGGTTTATCCTCTGGTTATAATAGTAACATCTGAGCTGAAGAGGCTTGCTGTCAGTTCTAGCCCCGCGCTGATGTGAGCTGCCAGCCTTGTCCCCAGCTCGCCGTCTACCCAGCGGTTCGAAAGCTTCGGCGAGTAGATAATATGGGTACCACTCCTTAGAGAGGGTGGGCACACTAAACCCCCCCATCGTGGGGTGGAGCGGTGTTAGCTGGCGAATGGAAGTCCAGCTCGCATGATGGAAAGCCTAGAGAGATCTCCTCGGCATGAAGAAAAGCCTGTAATGGGCCGTCCGGCCAGGCGATGGCAGTGTGGCGCTACAACTCAAGGAGTCTGGCGAAAAGCTGACGCCATTAAACTCGGCCGAGGAAAAATCCCGTTCCGGATCACGTCTCATCTGCATCTGAATGAAACCCACGTCGGCTGTGAATGTGTGCAATTTAAGATGTATATATGTTGTCCTCCCTTACCCCACAAAGCACTGTTAGTCCCTCGTGAAAAATGAGTAACTGTAAATCGCTCAGAGCCAGCAAGCTCTGCAGGATTGAGCGATCAATAAATTGAAAGATGATGATGATGATTATTATTATTAATATCTTGGCCCTGGCCCCGACACTGTCATCAACACCATCATCAGCACCAACAGCCTGGCAGGAGTCCGGATCGTGGTGGTAGGCGACCCCTTTAAATGCCAAGAGAACGACACCGTCTCTTATCAACATCTGTTGGAACGTGTACAATTTTATGTATATTGTGATTTTAAGTAACCTGTGTTTTATTATATGCCAATGTTTTAATGTATGTATTTATATATGTCTACTGTGAGCTGCCATGAGCCTGCCTTGGCGAGGCGGGGCGGTCGGATATAAATATAATATTAAACAAATAAAATAAAAATGTGTTCCCCATCTCTGACTGTGAAGCTTTTAGAAGAGCACGCCTGGGGTCTTGGGAGCACTGGAAGATGCATTCATCTCCTACAAGGGCTCTGTACTGAAGCGGAAAGGGAGAGCCAGTTCTTTCTCCCACAGAGTTGGCGGAGATGTGAGAATGTACTATTGGGTGTTGTAAATAAGAAGCTGGAGACTGACCAGTTATGAAAGTGCACAGAGAGTTTATAAAGTTATAAAGGTGAATATATACAGAGATATTTACAGGCTATAGAACAGCATGCCGTGCCTTAGTCTATGAGAACTAAGTCCCCACTAGCTTACCAAGCTGATAGCTATTATGCTGAACCCCAGCCAATCTCTAACAAGGTGATGTAATCACTAACTCTAACAAGACTTGAATAACACCTGTTAGAAACTCCTGTCTGCAATTACATGATTACTAGCCTGACAGCTAGATTTGACAGACAGATCAAACTGATCTATAGTAACTGCTTGCTACCTCTATCACTCAGACATATATCTCAATATATACACCCCGAGACAGATGCACTAATTGCCCCCTGCAGTCCTTACACTGCAAAGGGACCCAGGGCTTTCCTCCGGCAACAAACGGCAGCTGGGATATGATGATGCAACCTGCAAAAATCAGCTGAGCTACTAGAAGCCTGGGAGGGAGACCTCGGCGCTTCAAGGATGCTGTGGAGGAGGCCGGCTGCTGAAACTCAGCTGTACCTCAAGTTGAAGGGAAGCAAGTGGTGAGCCCAACTGCTAAACTTCAGCAGCTGAGGTCTTGAAGCTGCTTGTTGGTCTCTGCTGTCAATGGTTCTGAGTCTAGTAACAAATAAATATACGCTGCAAAAACCTTTTAACAAACTAATGTGTTCTATTTATGGTTATCATTTTAGTAAAGTGCATAAAGGTAAAAGTTCCCTTGCTTGAAAGCCAGTCGAATCCGACTCTAGGGTTGCGGTGCTCATCTCCGTTTCCAAGCCGAAGAGCCAGCGCTGTCCGAAGATGTTTCCGTGGTCATGTAGCCGGCATGACTAGACGCCAAGGCGCACGGAACGCTGTTCCCTTCCCACCGAAGTGGTACCTATTTATCTACTTGCAATTTCTTGCTTTCGAACTGCTAGGTTGGCAGGAGCTGGAACTAGAGATGGGAGCTCACTCCGTCCAGCTGGGATATGATGATGCAACCTGCAAAAATCAGCTGAGCTACTAGAAGCCTGGGAGGGAGACCTTGGAGATTAAAGGATGCTGTGGAGGAGGCCAGCTGCTGAAACTCAGCTGTGCCTCAAGTTGAAGGGAAGCAAGCGGTGAGCCCGACTGCTGAACTTCAGCAGCTGAGGTCTTGCAGATGCTTGTTGGTCTCTGCTGCCAATGGTTCTGAGTCTAGTAACAAATGAATATGCACTGCAAAAACCTTTTAACAAACTAATGTGTTCTATTTATGGTTATCATTTTAGTAAAGTGCATAAAGGTAAAAGTTCCCTTGCTTGAAAGCCAGTCGAATCCGACTCTAGGGTTGCGGTGCTCATCTCCGTTTCCAAGCCGAAGAGCCAGCGCTGTCCGAAGATGTTTCCGTGGTCATGTAGCCGGCATGACTAGACGCCAAGGCGCACGGAACGCTGTTCCCTTCCCACCGAAGTGGTACCTATTTATCTACTTGCAATTTCTTGCTTTCGAACTGCTAGGTTGGCAGGAGCTGGAACTAGAGATGGTAGCTCACTCCATCATGCGGCACCTGGGTCTCGAACTGCTGAACTACTGACCTTCCACAGCCTGCAGTTCAGCGTCTTAACCACTTGAGCCACCGCAACTCCTAGTAAAGTGTATTATTATTTCATCCTAGTCAGGTATAAATATTCATTACATTCAATAAGCAATAACACTCAGTACATACAGATTGCTAACTACCAGACAATTTTGCATCAGCGTTTTAAAAGTCAAGCTGCACTGATGCAAAACTGGATATTCCTTTTCCCCTGGCCCTCACAGAAAGTAACAGAAAACAGTACTCTGAATCACACAGCAGTATCAAAGCTGATTGTAAGGCTTTTAAGCACATAAATCAAAGTGACAAAATACTGGCAGTCGTTGACCATTGAGTAGGACCATGCTGGCGGAGGGCCCCACACCCAGAACCTTATAATCAAGCATAGATTATCTTTTCTTTTCCCCTCTTCTGCTCTTGGGAGCTCCTCTCCATGTCAGACGCGAGGGACTTTACAATGCATCTCCAGGCGGCTGTGGAAATGCACCGAAAGCCTCCGGTCGGCCCAGCAATTAGACTTCAGTTGCATAATCCAACATCAGCGTGGAAAGTTGCCAACATGAACCCAGGAGAAAAGAGCTGCCTGATTCCTCTCTGTAGAACACAGTGCTCCACAACCGTGCCAAAGCGGGCCGCAGAAGCTTCCACTCTCCTCCAAGCATGCAATCGGCCGTCTAGAAAGTGCCAGCATTGCTTGAAAACAACAAAAGAAGGGGAAATGTGGAGACATAATAAACGGGAATCATTTCTGAAAGCAAAAGCTGGTAATGCTGGACTCTTTCCAAAAAAATTTCCCCAGGGCTGCCTGTTTCCACAATGTTGGATTCTGACCAAATCTTTCCGTTTTGGACTGATACGGCTGTTTTTCAGGGTAGTAACATCGATCAGGGGACTGCCATGGCTGCTTCAATACAAAGGCAACTCTCTGTGTAGCTGTCACTGTTGCTGTGTCAAGTGAGTATCCACACACCACACAGCAGTCTTCCCTACAAGTTCCTTGCTTCAGCATTGTCCTCCCAACTATCTTCCTCTCCCTCCACCAGATGTCTTTTTTGAAGGAGGAGGAGGAGATTGGATTTATACCCCGCCCTTCACTTGGGAGTCTCAGAGCGGCTTACAATCCCCTTTCCCTTCCCCTCCCCACAACAGACACCCTTGTGAGGGAGTTGGGGCTGAGAGAGCTCTGACAGAATTGGCTCTTTTTCAAGAACAGCTCTGACAGAACTATGGCTTGCCCAAGGTCATCCAGCAGGTGCAAGTGGAGGAGTCGGGAATCAAAGCCGGTTCTCCTAGATTAGAGTCTGCGCACTTAACCACTATACCAACCTGGCTAGGATAGGAAGCTTACTATTATAATAGTAAAATAATCTACTGCAACCATGTGCTAGGTTCCACCTTTCTTTAAAAAAAAGCTTCTAGGACTTTTATTTGCATAGTTTTAAGAGGAAAGGTGCTGCTCCCAAGTACAGTCAAACTGTAATACCTTGTGTTGTGGTAATCATCTGCTATCAGCAGACAGCCTCATTAAATGGTTCTCTCTTTTCTTGCTTGAGTTAATCTTACTTTTTATAGAAAATGAAGTGTGTCTGCACATGAGAGAATGCCAATTTTTCTTTTATTTGCCACAACCTTTGGCAAATAAGCATGACGGGACCTCAGAAAATTCATCTTGCAAAAGACAGGCCCTTCGCCACTGTTTTTGGCCTCCAAATTCTGTACGTACGTGCAGTCTTTTGAGTGGCAGTTCAATAATCAGAAGAGAAACAGGAACCAAGACATATAAAGATACCTCTAGAAAAGAGAATCTGATGCATTGTGATTGCTTGCCAACCTACCTAGTACCTTTTCTTCCTCCAGAAAGTTCAGCATGGCACATGCTTCTTCACCCAAAGGGTGATGAACACATGGAATTCACTGCCACAGGTGGTGGTGGCGGCTACAAGCATGGACGGCTTCAAGAGGGAATTGGATAAGCATCTGGAGCAGAGGTCCATCAGTGGCTAGATAGGTCTAGATAGGAACTCTCAGTCTGGGGCAAGGGATGCTCTGTATTCTTGGTGCTTGGGGGGAGGCAATAGTGGGAGGGCTTCTAGTGTCCTGGCCCCACTGCTGGACCTCCTGATGGCACTTGGTATTTCTGGCCACTGTGTGACACAGAGTGTTGGGCTGGATGGGCCATTGGTCTGATCCAACATTGGCGTCTCTTATGTTCTTAATATGGAGCAGAGGTCCGTCAGTGGCTATTAGCCACAAGGTATAGATAGGGACTCTGGGGCAAGGGATGCTCTGTCTTCTTGGTGCTTGGGGGGGGGGTCAACAGTGGGAGGGCTTCTAATATCCTGGCCCCACTGCTGGACCTCCTGATGGCCCCTTGTATTTTTGGCCACTGTGTGACACAGAGTGTTGGACTGGATGGGCCTTTGGCCTGATCCAACACTGACTTCTCTTGGGTTCTTATGTTGGGTCCCCTTCCCCTATGTTATCGCTTGACCTCGCAAGGTACGTTAGGCTGAGAGTGTCATTGGCCCAAGGCCACCGAGGAACCTTAATGCAGGGGGGAAGGGGAATTGCAACAGAGGGCTCCCAGACCCTAGTCGCTCTGTCCACTACCACACACCGGCTCTCTGTCAAGGATTGCCTTCTTCACTCGAAGAAAAATTCTGTGGTACTCCGAAATCGGTGTAAATCCTCTGTTGGAGAGACCCGTATATAGACCAGTCCCTCTTTAAAGCACACTTTTCACATTTGCAATCGGAGGTTTGTCTTGCAGGACAAAGTGTCTGAGCTACCATAGCCAGGAATATTTGACACAATAGATTTGTGTGTCGTGGTTAAGTACGAGGACTCTAATCTGGGAGAACCGGGTTTGATTCCCCACTCCCCCACTTGCACCTGCTGGATGACCTTGGGCGAGCCGTAGTTCTGATAAGAGCTGTTCTTGAAAAAGAGCAGTTTCTGTCAGAGCTCTCTCAG